TGATAGATATTGTGAGATATTGTTTCTAGTTATATTTTAGGAAAGTTTCCTAAGTCAATTAGATTTCTTAATTAGAATAGGTTTCCTAGAAAGAGGTTTTCTATTTCGAATCAAACTATGGTCTATATATAGTCTATTTCTCTTGTAATTGAGACATGCAATAGAAAGGCGCGAATTGCGATTGTTTCACCTTCAAAAATTCCTTTCATCAAATCAATATTGTTGCCGCGACTCTGACGCTCAACAAATTGGTATCAGAGCTTACGGTTCGTGATCATGGCCTCAACGAACAATCAGCTTCCTCTTCAGTACCCTCGTCTTACCAAAGAAAATTATGGTAACTGGGCTGTTAGAATGAAAGCTCTACTCGGCGCCTACGGTGTGTGGGAATTTGTTAACACTGGCTATGATGAGCCAAAGGATGAAGCCACGTTGAACCAGAATCAGAGGAATGCCTTGGAGAAGGCTCGAACGAAACATCAATATTCCCTGTCGATCATCTATTAAGCGTTAGATGATTCCATGTTCGAAAAAGTTTCGAACGCCACTACCGCTAAAGAGGCATGGGAGATTCTTCAAAACACACATCAAGGAGTTCAGAAAGTTCAGAAGATTCGCCTTCAAACCTTGAGAGGCGAATTCGAGGTAATTCGTATGAAAGAATCTGAATCGATTGCTGATTATTTCACGAGAATTTTGACAATTGTTAATCAGATGAAAAGAAACGGAGAAGAAGTTTTCGATGTTCGTGTTGTTGAGAAAATACTTCGGTCCTTAGACAAGAAGTATGATTATATTGCGGTTGCAATCGAAGAATCCAAAGACTTGGATGCCATGACGGTCGATGAACTTATGGGTTCATTACAAGCCCATGAAGAAAGGTTTAGAAAGAAAAAGATTGAATCGGTGGAGGAAGTTCTCCAAACGCAGTTGACCATACGAGATGAAAAGGAGCAAAGAAGAGATCCCGTACAAAATCGCGGGACAAATCAAGATCGTGATCGAGGTCGTGGCCGAGGTCACTTTCGAGGAAGAGGTCGCGGACGAAGCAGAGGAGATCCTGCTCGAAGTGATGGAGGATACCGGTACCAAAGAGGTGTTCGTGGAAGAGGAAAGAACTCGACAAGCCAATGGTATGATAAATCTAAAATCCGATGTTATCATTGCAATAAACTTGGCCATTATGCTTCTAACTACTGGAATAAAGAAAGTAGCAGACCAGACGAAAAGGCGAACTTGGTAAATAATGATGGTCAAGTTCTCTTATTGGCATTCAAAGAAGATGAAGAAGGTCAAAGCGATACGTGGTATTTGGATACCGGCGCAAGTAATCACATGTGTGGGAGAAAGGAGATGTTTGCCGAGTTAGATGAGATAATTAAAGGGAATGTCTCATTCGGTGATAACTCTAAAATTCTTGTTGAAGGGAAAGGTACAATTTTGATTCGCTTAAAGAATGGTGTACGTCAGTTTATTACCAATGTTTATTATGCTCCAAAAATGTCAAGTAATATCTTGAGTTTGGGACAACTTCTGGAGAAAGGTTATACTGTTTATATGAGAGATCTTAATCTTATGTTGAGAGATCGGAATAATAAATTGATTGCAAAGGTGAAGATGTCGAAGAACAGGATGTTTATTCTTAATATAAAGAGTGAGATGTCTCGATGTCTAAAGACGTGCGTAGATGATCCTTCATGGTTGTGGCATTTGAGGTTTGGCCATCTCAATTTTGGCGGACTCAATTTGCTTTCTCGCAAGAAGATGGTTTATGGCTTGCCACATATTGATCATCCCGATCAATTATGTGAAGGGTGTGTTATCGGCAAGCATTCCAGAACTAGCTTTCCGAAGGAGGCGACTTATCGAGCGAAGAAGCCGCTTGAGTTGATTCATTCTGATTTGTGTGGCCCGATCAATCCTCACTCATATGGTAATCATCGATATTTTGTTACTTTTATTGATGATTTTACTCGGAAAACTTGGGTGTATTTTTTGAAAGAAAAGACAGAAGTGTTTGATATTTTCAAACAATTCAAGAACCTGGCTGAAAAGAAAAGCGGCTATTTTATCAAGGCTTTGAGGACTAATCGTGGTGGAGAATTCACCTCAGCCATATTCAACAAATTCTGTGAAAATCATGGGATTCGGCGTTTCTTAACGGCCCCGTATTCTCCTCAACAAAACGGTGTGGCTGAACGGAAATATAGAACCATTCTTGATATGGTTCGAAGCATGTTGAAGAGCAAAAATTTGTCCAAGGAACTTTGGGCAGAAGCTGTTTCGTGTGCCGTCTATCTTCAAAATAGATGTCCAACATATGGACTTGAAGGCGTAACTCCACAAGAGGCATGGACCGGGAGAACACCAAGTGTTTCGCACTTGAGAATTTTCGGGAGCATTGCCTATGCTCATGTCCCGGATCAAAAAAGATCGAAACTTGAAGACAAGAGCAAAAAGCTCATCTTTATCGGGTATGACTCATCATCCAAAGCCTATCGATTATTTGACCCTAACACTTTGAAAGTGTATGTAAGTAGAGATGTCAAGTTCGATGAAAATGGAATGTGGGAAGAAAATCCAAAAGAAGAAGCGAATGTTCGTGGTGATTCCAATCAAACGGAGTTGAAAGATCAACCTTCACCTTCTTCTCCAACATCTTATTCAAGTTCATCAACACCATCCTCTTCAAATAGTGTCGATGAACCGCTAGTACCAAGATCGAGAAGATTGTCTGAAATTTACGAAGCTACCGAAGAGCTTCATCTTATATGTCTTCTTGCAGATTATGAACCACTTGCTTATGATGATGCGGCCAAAGAAGAAAAGTGGAGGAAAGCCATGAACGAAGAAATTGAAGACATCGAGAAAAATCAAACATGGGAGCTTGCTAATCTTCCGAAGGACAAGAAATCAATTGGTGTTAAATGGGTGTACAAGACCAAGAAGAATGAGAAAGGTGAAGTAACAAGGTACAAAGCTAGATTAGTCGCGAAGGGGTACAAGCAAAAAGCCGGAATCGACTATGATGAAGTTTTTGCCCCTGTCATCCGCATGGAAACGATTAGATTGATTATTTCCATTGCTGCTCAAAATAATTGGCGGATTTATCAAATGGATGTCAAATCAGCATTCTTGAATGACATCCTTGAAGAAGAAATTTATGTCGAACAACCCGAGGGGTTTGTTGTGAAAGGTCATGAAGACAAAGTGCTAAGGTTGAAGAAAGCTCTATATGGGCTTAAACAAGCACCAAGAGCATGGAATTCCAGAATTGATGCATATTTCAAGGCGAATGGATTCTCTCAATGTCCATACGAGCATGCACTCTATTTGAAGCAAGAAAAATGTGATATTCTACTTGCCTGTTTATATGTTGATGATCTTGTTTTTACAGGAAATAATTCGGCGATGATTGATGCTTTTAAGGCATCGATGGTGAAAGAATTTGAAATGACCGATAATGGTCTCATGAATTATTTCCTTGGTATCGAAGTGAAGCAAAGTGCCGATGGGATTTTTATTTCCCAAAAAGGATATGCAGAAAATATCCTTGAAAAATTCAACATGAAGAACTGTATGCCGGTCAATACACCAATGGAGTGTGGAACCAAGCTTTCGAAGTTTGATGATGGTGCCGATGTTGATTCGACATATTATAGAAGCTTGATTGGAAGTTTGAGATACTTGACATGCACAAGACCGGATATTATGTATAGTGTTGGAATTGTTAGTCGATACATGGAGAAGCCGAAATCATCTCATCTTAAAGCTGCAAAGAGAATACTTCGGTACATCAAAGGTACTATTTCTCATGGTTTACACTATTATTGCTCTGAATCTTAGTGATTATGGTGGAGATATCGACGATCGAAAAAGCACCACGGGATTTGTATTTTTCTTGTGCGACACTGCTTTCACGTGGTCATCAAAGAAGCAATCAAGTGTTACTCTGTCGACATGTGAAGCTGAATATGTAGCTGCATCTTCATGCGTTTGTCATGCAATATGGTTGAGAAGACTACTCAAAAATATTCTTATGGAGCAGAAGAAAGCAACGGAGATTTTTGTTGATAATGTTTCTGCTATTGCTTTGGCGAAAAATCCAGTTTTTCATGAACGAAGTAAACATATCGATGTTCGATATCACTTCATCCGAGAACAGGTTAAAGAGAATGAAGTTGAAGTATTGCATGTGAAGACCGGAGATCAAGTAGCAGATATTTTTACTAAACCTCTCAAGATCGATGCTTTTCGAAAGTTCAAGAGCCTGCTTGGAATGATCGATGGAAGAGAATTTGGTTTAGGGGGGAGTGTTAGAAATTAAACCAAATTTGTTAGTTCTTGTTTCCTTTTTGAGTCTATTCGTATTTCTATATTTTGATAGATATTGTGAGATATTGTTTCTAGTTATATTTTAGGAAAGTTTCCTAAGTCAATTAGATTTCCTAATTAGAATAGGTTTCCTAGAAAAAGGTTTCCTATTTCGAATCAAACTATGGTCTATATATAGTCTATTTCTCTTGTAATTAAGACATGCAATAGAAAGGCGCGAATTGCGATTGTTTCACCTTCAAAAATTCCTTTCATCAAATCAATATTGTTGCCGCGCCTCTGACGCTCAACAGTTAATAAGTCTAACATAAGTGCAACTAAAAGTGGATAGAACATAGTCGGAGAATTCATGTGCACACAAGATATGTGATTTTTGACAGACGACTTTTTTGGGATGTGAAAGTAGTAATCTTCACTTGTTTATTAATAATTAGAAAACGAAATTTCAAAGCTTTTTTGGTATGATGAAAAGTGATGATGTTGAAATTCAAATATTATCGAGGAACCGTATACTTTCAAAACATATCTAACCAACCATAGTCTCTCAAGAAAAGTTCAGAATGCAAAATCGTCTGCTGTAATTTAGTTTTAGTAGAAAATTAGAAGCTAGTTGAAGTTTTAAAAGAATCCGCTTTTCACAGTTTGGAGAAGTTGACACAAATTACCTGGGCCGCTATTGTTACATCCAACAGAACTCCCAAACGCAAGGGCACTGCTATTTAGGGTTGTCAAGTTCATGACCTTCATATGTTTCATCACTTCCATGATGCAACCCTCGTACTTCTCACACACGACTTTGATCAGAACGTTCTTCCCCCACGCCGGTGCTTCGACCTCGGGTGGTTGCTAATCGATGATTGGGTCATACAAGTTTTTCACGAAGATTACCAGTTCCATAGTTCTCGTAGCCGCCTCTTCCTCAAGAACCTTCATGCGTTCCTTGAGTCGTTTGAAGTACTTTGTCGCACCTCCAACGACAGAAGCCTTGTCCATCCACGCAACCAGAACATTAGTAATTTTTTTTAGCATGAGCAACGGAGGCTATTATGTGACAAATTGGAGGACAATACTGTTGAGAAAACATCCTAACATATTTTGAAGTTGAAAAAATTATCCATGTTTTATATCGATCTTAATAAATGCAAGAAGTGTTTATCTTTCAGGTAATATTTATGCTGAAATGATCCTTTATGACTGAAAAACTTACATGAACAAGTCTAGAAGAATGGAGAGTTCAGATTGACTTGGAAATATCAAGGTTTTATGCCTACAGTATCGACATAACTATCGTTGTCTAAGTATATTAGTTAGAACAGTTGATCATATTCAAGAAGCCAAAAATAACGAACTGCGTGGATATCAGCAAGGCAAAGGCTGGATATCAGCAAGGCAAACAACGCTAATATCCAGCAGGGCAAACGCTGAATATCGACAAGGTAATCAACAAGGCACTGAATATCATCAAAGTACTATGATAGCTGAATATTAGCAGGATATCAATACTACTTGCGACGAAGTTCTTATCATGACTTACAAGATTAAAACTTTGAGATATTTCATCTTATTATCGACATCTTATGATCTAATATGGATTCCCTCTTTAGAAGATCTTGATTGTTTGTCAATCTTAAAGACTATCTTTGCAGAACATTAACTCGCGCAAAATATCTTAGTTGATTGACAATCATATTGAAGGCAAGATTCTTTCCTTAGCTTAAGCACTCCATTCTTGGGAACCAAGGTTTGATTGTATGGGCGATAAAATTTACGACAATTCTGCTTGATTGACTTCGACGACCACAAGATCTACTTCAACAATTATCCAACGGGTAGATAGGAGATTAATCCTCAAAGATTGTCCAACGGGAAGCTTGGAAGTCAAGGAGTATAAAAGGAGATCAAGAAGCCGAAGAAAGAGAGAAATCAAGAGTTTACAATTCCAAATCTCAAGAGAGCTTCACATATTTTCATTTGTCTTCTGTGAATATACAATTGTAATCTTTTGAAAGGTGTTGGTAGTGTTTTAAGTATGTGCTTAGGTTGAGATAGCTTGAGTATAAATAGCACCTACTTTGTGAAGAAGCACTTGGGTATAAGCAAACATATACGACTGTAACTTCTCAATAATTGACTGGTAGAATCTAACCAGTAAGCTGTTAGTATGGAAGAGTGGACGTAGGCTTACACTAAAACCGAACCACTGTAAGCTCTATGTATATTGTCTTCTATCTCTCTATTCTTACTCAATCACTACTTGATAGATATATTGCACGACAGTACTTGAATATTACTAGAACTTGCTTATTTTCATATTCTGTTTTACCCGGTTACTTTGTTATCAAATTTGGCGCTATTAATTCTGCACTACTTTGCCAACTCTAGATAATGTTGTTAGCCAACATTAAATGGTATCAAAGTAAAGTGCTCATAATTATAAAGTGTATTACTTCTTAGTTAACGATATGTTATGGTTAGAAATCTTGGACCAGGTATTATTGAGGGACTAAGCAACACAAACGTCCCTACTTTGATAGAAAATATTATGATGTCTTGAAGAACAGAATGAAAACTTTCATTAGATCCTCTTATGTGTGAAGTTGTGCAAAATATAGTCAATCCTACACCTAGAGCAACTGCAACACCTGCAGCCTCCAACACAGGAGAAACAAATGAGAACAAAACTCCAGCACCTACAATTACTTCTACGGAGTTGGCCAAAAGAGACACGCTAGATGCTAAAGCCCTTCACTCTCTTTATTGCGCTTTATTTCCCACTGAGTATAAACATGTATCTTCATATGAAACAACAAAAGATATATGGGACAGGCTCCATGTAACCTTCCAAGGAACTGACAGAGTCAAGAAACAAAGACAAATATCCTCCTTGGCAAATATAAATCCTCCAAGATGAAACCGAATGAATCAGTTTTTGACATGTTCAAGAGATTCACTAATATCATCAATGGACTTGCATATCAAGGCAAACCAATCTTAGCTGAGAGAAAGTAAACAAGCTTCTGCACGGACTCTCAAGAGAATGGAATGATATCAAAACATCCATTCAATAAACACAAAGGGCCCCTTAGTGTCGACGAACTCATTGGAACTTTCATGTCCTATGAAGCTAAATGTATTAATGATTAAGATAACTCCAAAGGTAAAGTTGAGACTACTCTCTTAATAAGCAAGGAAGGTAAGGACATTGTTCTCATCCAAATATATGTTGATGATATTATATTCGGTTCATCTAATGAACTTTTGGTGCAAGAAATTTTCTAAGACTGTGCAGAATGAGTTCGAGTTGAACATGATGCGAGAATTGAATTTCTTTCTTGGACTCCAAGTGAAGCAAACCAAAGATGACACATTTATTTGCCAAGAGAAATATGCATAAGAGCTTGTGAAGAAATATCGAATGGAGAATTGCAAGAAAATCGAGACACCTATGTCTTACTCCTCCAAACTTGACAAAGATGAGTTGGGTAAATCGGTAGATCAGAAGCTTTATTGAAGCATGATAGGATCTCTGTTATATCTCACTGCTTCTAGACCTGATATTGTCTTCAGTGTATGCATGTGTACCAAATTTCAATCGAATCCTAAGGAATCATATCTTACTGCTGTTAAAAGAATCATTAAGTGTGTTGGTACTTATCCTAAGCTATGATTATGGTATTCAAAGAAATATAAATTTATGCTTGTTGGATATTCAGATGTTGATGACTTTACTGATGTTGAATTGATAGAAAAATCTATTTAGGAACATGTCAATTGATGGGTTGCATGTTGGTATCATGGTTTTCCAAAATGCAAAACACAGTTGCACTTTCAACAGCCGAAGTAGAGTATGTAGCTCTTGGAAGTTGTTATACTCAAATTCTATAAATGAAGAAGTAGCTTAGTGACTTTGGAGTTACAGAATCCAATGTTGCAATCAAGTGTGACAACACCAATGCTATCAACATGTCAATTGAAATCAAGCATCCTTTTATTCGCGATCATGTGCATAATAGTGATATTAACAACCAGTTTGTTAATTCAAAACATCCATTAGCTGATATAATCACAAAACCTTTAGAAAATAATGCATTTGAATATATTCAAAGTGAATTGGGTATTACTAAACCATTTGCTTAAGCTGAATATGAGCAGACAAGTGGTCATATCCAAGTATTGACTAGTGATGATATCCAAGAAGAAACTGCAGACTAATGATCATATCCAAAGTCAACTTGCAGACAGGTGATTATATTTGATACCAAGTAACTATATCCTTAATGTCAAATGAGTTTCTATTTCTTTCTAGTTTTGCTAAAAAAAAAAAAGAAAATATCAAATCAAATACAAAATAACAATAAAAATCCAAACCAAAAATAAATAAAAAATAAAAAAATCAATCAAGAATCAAAAATCGAAAATTGAAAAAAAAGGAAGGAAAAAAAGAAAGGAAGTCCAAAAGCGAGAGAGAAAAATAATTAGAAATATTTCATATGGTTTTGAGACGCAAGGCTTGTCATCAAAATTTAGGCATCATCTTTAGTCTTTGAAAAGAAACTCTCCAAGCTCCCTTTTAAAAAGGGATAGCTGTTGGCATCTGAATTTTCTCAACTGGTATCCCGAAGAATCTTGTTAAATATGAAAAATTGCAAAGATTTGGGTCAGCCCAGTTTAGCTAGAACTAACCCGGCCTCTTAGGCCTGACTGGATAAAGCTCGGCCCGATTCGACCCTCAATCGTGTTTTTTTTCTCTATAGCAGAAAATTTTCGTGCCATGTGGTGCCTCCTCGTTGGCTCGAATCCTCACCATTGTGAGCTCGCCACTTGTCGTCGTGTTACTAAAACCCTAAATAAATTTTAGGTTATTCCACTTTTGGTAGAGGTGGCTAGCAGCTGCAGGGCATAAAAGGACGAAAGGTAGCTCCATATGAAATGAAAAGTTTTGGGCATTCGAAATGGGGGCTCTATGGAAAAAAAAAAAAAGAATGGCATGTTGTTTTCCTTTTGCTCTCGGCCAGACAAACCCCTCACTCCTCGGTCGCGCCGAACCAGCCGACTCCACCGCCGTCACTTGATGACCTCCATCCGGCATCGTCAACCTCACAACATCGCTTTCCCGATCCCCGCATCATCGGTGAGTTTCTTTTTTGGTTTGAGCTTCCCTTGCCCCAAGGATCTCGGCTCTGAGACATTGAGACGATCGGCCATATCTAAATTCGTTTCAAGCTTACTGTCTAGCCACCGCCTCCAAGCCAAGTAGGGACCCCCCACGTTTGAACACTTGTTCCGCGAGCCTGTTTCGCCTTGCCCTGTTTTCGTTGAGTTGGAAGCCAATGTTCATTCTTTCCGGTCCGTGCTTGTGTTGGGTTTTAATGAGCTAATGTTTTCAATCTCATGCATCCCTTACTAATTTTTTTTGAGTTTAGGTGAGGGTTCGAGCTCTCAATAGGTCGATACCCCTTTTTGATCCGCCCCCGCCACTCGTTCGACAATGTCTCAACCAAATCTGTGTTTTTTCTTCTCTAGTCATGGTTTCGTTTCCTTGTGTGTTTTTTGGTGGAGATAGGATGTTGACAAGCGGCAACCAGCGGTTGTTGCTAACAAGAAGGAGGGCGGACGAGGAGGCTAGTTGCTTGGCCGAGCCAAGCTCTCAACCAAGTGTAGGGCTGGCCGAACTATGTCTCGGTCGAGCATAAGTCTGGTTGAGCCGGGTCTCAGCCAAATGGACGGCTAGTCGAAGTCCAGGCCTGCCGGATCAACCCTAACCAAAGCTAAACTAGGTCTCAGTTTGGACCAGCCTTAGTCAAGGCTTGGTGTGGGCTTAGATTAGGAAATAGGAACTAGGCTAGGGTGTTACTTTTGGGCTTGGTAGGACCGGGCCTTGATTAGATCAGGATCATGCATTGAGCCTAGTCCGAGCGAAGGCCTAGGTCAGTGGGACCAGAGTCCGGCCCTTACCCGGACCAGGCCTAAGGGCCTGACTCGGGTCCGGCCTTAACAAAAAATATATATTAACATATTAAAATATTTTTTTATTATATTTTAAAAATATGTATTAATTTTTTAAAAAAATAAATATTCAAAAAATAGCTTAGAAATAGGTCTTGACCAAGTTGTGTGATTTTAGCATTAGATTTAGCTTAGTTTTTTAAGTCAACGCAACATTTAGTTTATGGGTTTTTGTGTTTTCCTTTAATAAGTTTAGACTTAGTTCAGGTAAGAAAGTGAACTTGTTCCAAATTCAGCTCATGGGGACCATGTCCTAGGGTTTATAACATGGCCATGTATATTCTTTGCTCGACTTGTATCGAGTTTTCTTTTCCGCATTTACTTTAAAGTCTTTTTAATGCTTGAGTGTTTCTTCATCGCACCGCATTTAAATAAATTGCTTGTTAATTTCTCTTCTAGAAGGTTAGGCCTAGTTTAGAATCATAATGAACCCTACGAAAACATTTGCATGCTCATTTAGAAACTTTGATACCCTTAGGGGCTTGTGACCACTTAGATGAACAACCTTCAAGTTAGTGGTACCGAAAAGGCATAATAGAAATATTAGCATAATCAAGTTCCCGTGCTTAGAATCTTTGGTTGCGTAGAAAATTAGGCGAACCTCCCATGTCTCGTTTTCTTTTTAGCCGACCCCAAATGGCTAGTGGCAACTCTTAGAAATACATAGCTTGTTAAAGAACCGTAAAATATCTAACATTGTGTGAGGTATAGGCTTGGGAGAGCTCGCGTCTAATCGAGGGCTGTCAGCTTGACTTAGGCAATTCCCCTAAACCTCATTTCTTTTTCCCCCGATGGAAAAAGAGGGTCGCGACAGTCACTCTTTCGACATGTGAAGCTGAATATGTAGCAACATCTTCATGTGTTTCTCAAGCAATATGGTTGAGAAAACTACTCACATAAATTTATATGAAACAAAAGAAAGCAGCAGAGATTTTTGTTGATAATAATTATAATATTGCTTTGGCAAAAAATTCAATTTTTCCGTGAATGAACCAAACATTTCGATGTTCGATATCACTTCATTCGAGAACAAGTGAGAGAGAAGGAAATGAAATTTCACATGTGAAGACGGGAGATCAAGTAGCAGATATTTTTACTAAACCTCTCAAGATTGAAACCTTTTGGAAGTTAAGAGTTTGCTTGGAATGATTGATCGGATAGAATTTGGTATAAGGGAGAGTGTTAGTAATTAAACCAAATTCATTGGAAGTTGCCGATCAAGCGAAGAGGTTATCGATTTACTAACAAGTTGTTGATTGGTCACCTGGTTGTCGATTTGCAATATTGACGTCGATGTCTGTTCGGCTTCCAAACTGGTGCACAAATTAAGAAAAGTCTTTTATTGTAATGTTAGTTTCAAAAGTCTGATCGTATTTTTATGCCTAGTTTAATGTTTTGTAAATTTTCAGGAATCTATCTCCTTGAAATACTAGATATAATTATCAGTCATTCAAGAGTCATGTAACAAGCTTCTATAAAGGTAAGTCTTGTGATCCATTTGATAAGGTGAAAAAAATGCGAAATAAAAAATAAAAATAAGTGAAGAGCTTATTCGCCTCCTTCTCTTCTTTGAGTTGTGAGTGTTTTCACATAAAAATTTTCCTATCAAAGAGGAGTGAAATTAACCACAATTCTTTCACTAACCCGTGCTATATCTTGCACTAACAGATAATTATCACAATAAGTGAGAAAATGCAATGCACATCATAGTACAAATTACCCACAAACTCTTGCGCTAACACGTAATCAAGAACATCTCTAAGACACAGACCACAGCAGAAAACCAATTTATTGCCTAGCAAGCTGACCATCTTGAAGATGATCCGATGAACGCCGTCATAACACAGCGTAGTTTTTCGACGATCTCCTCAATTGTCGGGCAGTTCTCATTTTCTAGCTGCAAGTAATGTAGATGCAACAAGTAAGATTTATATGTTGCTGAAGATTAAATACCCTGACTCAACTCTAAATAAGAAGAGAATAATTTATACAGCAACATGTCAATGAATCTTACATAAATGCAACTAAAAGTGGATAGAACATACTCTAAGAATTCGTGCACATCTGATATGTGATTTTTTTACAATCGTTTCCTTTGGCATGTGGAAGTAGTTATCTTCATTTGTTCATTGTTATTTTAGATGTTAAAAGCGAAATGTAAAAGCTTTTGAGGTATGACTTCGACTTCTAGTAAAGTAGTCTGGTCAAGGTTAAGGGTATCCCCGATCCCTTCTTTCAACAAAAACGCGAAAGTAGGGGCTATTCCGGCGCTCCCTCTCAAGATTGTTAAAGATCTCATGGAGACAGTCCAATGAATGGTTTTTGCCGTTCCGGGTCTTGATAAATTTGGCCCCATTCACAAGCCATCCCCGATCGGGATCAAGCTCATCCATCGGTAAGAGTATATTTCTTTTACTCTCAAAGATGGATGAGCTTTTCGATGAAAGTAATCAAAAGGAGAAAAGTGACGCTAAAGCTCAAATAATTTATCAAGGAACCGTATTACCTGGGCCACAATTGTGACATCCAAGAGTGAACTCCCAAATGCTAGGACGCTGATATTTAGAGTTGTCAATTTCATAACCTCCATTTGCTTCATCACTTCCTTGATGCAACCCTCATGCTTCTCGCACTGGACTTTGATCAAAACGTGCTTGCCCGACACCCGTGCTTCGATCTCGGGTAGTTGTTGATCGATAACTGGGTCATACGACTTCTCTTCGGATGAAAAAGATACAATGCCATCACCACGTTGGAGTGATGGCTTCTTCGTGAAGATCGCCGATTCCACAGTTCTCGCGGTTGCCTCTTCCTCGAGGATCTTCACACGTTCCTCGAGATGTTTCAAGTACTTTATTGTGTCTCCAAGGACAGAAGCCTTGTCTAGCTACGTAACCAGAACATTTATTTATTTTTTAGCAGGAACAATGAAGACTTATAATGTGATAAATTAGAAGACAACACTACGGTTTTGGTCCCTAACTTTTATGGCGATTCATAAAGGTCCTTGTAGATGGAAGCTTTGTTATGATGACTATTTCAATAACAGGTTAGTCTCAACTTCTAAACAATCCTCAAACAAGTACCTGTTGAATTCAGACGATTCTACCTAGAGGTCGAATTTAAGTTGTTTTGTTGATCTTTCTACCTCTTAAAAGGTTTTTGTTTTCCTCCATCGTTAGTAGGGACTGGCTTTCTGATTGACGAGACTACTGTGAGAAGAATGAAGAGAATGCTACAAGTACTCTAATGATCTCATATCACAAGCTAGCATTTACCAAATGTTATGAATGAAATATAAATTACGTGATTGATTGTCCTTCGATAGTCATAACAGTGAAAATTAAACAGTAGACACAAAATTCAAATTTGCTTTTAATTCATGAAGCAAAACTAATAACCTAAACGAGTTAAGCGACTAAAAAAAAGGGTTTTGACACTCCTCTGGACAAGTTTATAGCACAATATCTTTTAACATGTAAAAGATATTGACTTATGCAGATTATACCCATCTAAACCATTTGACGAAAGATGCACATAATCATATCAAATTTAAATGCATGAATAGTTTCCAACCCTAATTTATTATGAGAAAGAATATTCAATCACCAGCATGGTGCAAACATGTATCAGAACAATCTAAATCAACTCAATCATCATCGAGCTTGATTAATTGAGTGATTTTTCAGAATGAATTCCACCTGAATAATACTTGACATTAGCCCTTTGCCTATATGTAGTTGGGTATTAATCTAGAATGATAATCATGATTCACTTAAATTATCTATCACTAATTTACAATTTTCTCATTTTATGGGCAAATTGTGTTAGTTTAACTTTACTCCTTAAGAGAACACACACAATTTCTCATGCATTTGATGGTTCAAACCTAATTTAATTCATTAAGCATAAAAAATCCCCCAATCGCAAGAACAGAAAAGCTCTTTTCCTCAAATTATCAATCTCTCTGGTTCTCTAATCTCGGTCTTTGGTCTTGCTCCCTCATGGAGTCCTCTCTCATTATTTGAAGTCAACAACTGCTTTCTACTTGTTATCTGAGGTGTATATGGCATATAATCTCCAATCCGTAATTCTAAAAGTTAGGTAGACTTTTGAGACTTGTACGCTATCCTCGATAAAAATATACTAAAAAGTAATTAACTTTTTAGAGTATTTCATAAGCCCGGGGTTTACCTATCTAAGGTGGGTTTTCTTAACATAAATAGAAAGTAATTAACTTTTTTCATTACTCATTATGCAAAGTCAAGAAATAAGCAACGAGCGCCTTCTTGTTCAATTGTGAGGAAGATAAATGTCTATGCTATTGTTTGTCCTTCAAATAGTTAGTATAGCATAAGTGGTATAACCCTTTCGTTTCTGTAGATATATATCCTGTCAAGACGGTCCTAATTTTTTTTTTCCAATTATCAAAAATACAAATATTAGCGTTGAAAAGTTTATATACTACTTACCTTACAAAAAAAAATATATTAGCTTAATGTAACTTATTAATATTTGCCTATTTGGTTCGAGTTTGGACATAAAATTCTTCGAAACCCAATTGTATTTTCTCAAATGAAACCAAGATTGCGAACACCCCCATTAAAGATATATGACGAAGGTGGAAAATGAACAGATATCAATCCTTCAGAAATTTTCACACAACAATAATTGATTTGGAGTACCTTTGTAAGGCCAGGAATGATAGCTGAAAGAGCAATGAAGCGCTGGCTCAGCCTCTCCCGGCGCTCCCTCTCTGCAATGACATGTTCTTGTGCATGCAAAGTTGTTCTACTAAACGTACCACCACCTTTTCTCTTCATCTTCATCCCTTCCCCATCTTGCAACTCATAGGTAATAATGACAATAATAAGCAAAGAGAGAAATTTTTCATTTCCATCACAACACAAAATCACAGTTTCAGCTTTCAACGATTTGTCTGTTCACATGCGTCGCTTACCAGGATACTGCTGAGAGATGTCTGCGGATAGATCTGAGTTCTGAAATGATATAACATGAGAATTAGAAGGTGGAGATGGTTTCCCTTGGGGGTTTTTGCGCTTGGTTTCGAAAGGGACATCGGACGAGTGGCCAGCGTTTTGGATTCCATGTGATGAGTAGGTCAATGCCGGAGAAAATGAAGTAAATTGATTGAAGCCAGACTCGGTGGGAGAGTAACCAAAGGGGTTCATCTGTTATTGATCCGCAAAGGCCGGATTTTCTGTTGCCCTGAGAAAAATTCAATGAATGTTTTGAGCAATCAATCGGCCTAAAACTTCAAGATTCTGCTGAAAAACACTGTGCACTACCATATAGCAAAATTGAAGAAACTTAATAAATCGTAAATACTTAATCATCAGAACAAAAATCTTCAAGGTTAAAACTTCTATCGTCTTTCTATTGTCCTCGGTCTTCAGGATCTCTTCCTCAAAAAAGATAAACAGAAATGCTGACATAAAATCGATAGATCCAAACCATTACCAGCCTAAACTAGCCAAAAAATGGGGAAAAAGAAAAGAAGTGGGGAAAGAGAGACGGACGGACGGAGAGAGAGAGGGAGACATTTCTTCATAGGACCTCGAGAACAATGCAAGACAATGTAATGTCATCAAGAAAACAGCCCACGAGTAAAAAGATTGAAAGGGGTCATCTGTAAGGGAAGCGAAGCTCACCAACGAAGGAGGAGGAGGAGGTCGGCGAGGGTTTTTGTATTTTCTTGAAAAGCGGCGACTTCCTGAAGTTGCTGAGCTCTGTGTACCTTGTTTTGTTTAAAGTGCACGCAGTGTGTCTGCTATAAACAACTCACCAAGAGGGGAAACGCTCTCGCCAACCTTTCAAGGACTAAAACTAATTTCTGTACTTATCCCCACGCGTTCATTGAATTTCAATTCCATTTCTTCTACTTTCAGTCTCGTTGGCGCATTTTGACCGGATTCCGCTTTGTTCACGTGCACTCTATTTCTGTCTTGGTAGAGTATTAACCAAACTGGAAGATGTTCATGGATTGGACTTAACAACTACTTTTCATCTTCTTTTTTTCTTTGGATCATCAGTCTAAATAAATATTATCTTTCGATGCAAAGAGAACATGAGGCCCTAAGGTAAGTTTATCGACCGTCTTGTCATTAATATTCATTCCATTCTTTTGATTCCATCTTAATAGACACTTTTCAAGTAATTTTTATGACGAATTGAGTTTTCTTGAACCAAGAATAAGGAAAAATATAGCGCTTTTTTCAAAATCCGCATTCATGTGTCACCAAATAAATGATTACACCAAGTATTCGATACGTTTATCCTACGTGACAATGTTTATCCTTGATGGAGTGAGCTTCCATGTGTGCACGAAGCTACACTATTTGCCACTAACACTACATCAACCGTGTGGCCAATTATTTTCTCAGTCTCCTTGGCCCCATGATTTATGGCTAACGTTTGTTAAAAACAAATTCACTATTTATGGATTTGGGGGACTTCTATGATCCATCGAAGAACTGATCCCTTCATCGTAATCGGATATAATCGTGCGTACTTTTTCGCAACTCCTATATAAAATGATCGGAACACACAAAAACTTAAAAAGAAACCCCACGTGGATTGATGTGGTGCATCGTTGGGAGCTCCATTGGCTTTTATCGCCGGTGTATAAAGAGACCCCCGGTTTGATTGCTCCTCTGAGAGAAGCACTCCAATTCTTTCTTTTGGGCTAAAGAGAGACTCCACTTCATTATTAATAAAATGACTGGATTCAAAGGCCATCCAAACGCAAGAAGATTATACTGTTATAGAACCCTTTTGATCCCAAGAAAAAAGAGATATTCAATGATCCCTAGACCATAACTTATCGTAATTATGTACATGTATCATAATTTTTATAATAAAGTGTCATGACAAACAAAGACTTCAAAAGTTTACAATTGAAACCGGTGAATTTTCATCTCTTTTGATCTGACAATTAATACATTCTGAAACAACCGATCCTTGGATATTTATGAAACCCTCTATTGAATCAAAGACAACAATCAGTGATAAGAGATGGACGACACTTTTTTTTTCTATTGAGTACTATATCTCAATATGTCTCTAAATAATTTTGTACACTATATTATTTCTGCTTCTAGTAGTTTTGTTTAAAAGGGGTGCTTCCAATAAAAATTGCCTAGTTACCCTACCACCCGGATCTGGTTTAGATGGAGACAGCTTAAATATTCTAATGCAGGAGAAATCTGAAGCTTCCATGAGACCTACAAGACCCCATCACATGGAGCACGAGCAGATTTCTTTATGCTTTCTTTGAAAGTGCATGAGGAGGAATTGGCAAAAATTAAAATAAAAAAGAAAGGAAAGTAGAGAAAAAATCAATGGCAAAGAGAGAAGGATGGAGGAGATAATTGATTTGATTTTCTTTTTTTTTATATGTAAAATGTAAAGAGAAAGATATTGAAAGGAGGATCCAAAAAGAATGAGAAATGAAATTTTCCCTTAAGCAGGAACAGATTTTATTAAGTACCTACTGTAACTAAATGAAGAAAATTTATAATTTTCAATTAATTGACTTTTTTAACAAAAAATCCACTTACTATTCTCTCGATATATTTAATTGATAATCTTAAAATAGAACTTTTCAACTAATTTCATATTTAGGTTACCCACTCAGATTTTGATTCGCATCTTACCTACTTCATAACAGGCCCAGAATCTATTTGCTTAAGGTGGTTTTTTCGTCATCAACCAATAGTGTTACCATACACCAATTTATAACTACAATGAAATGGGAATAGGAAGTGCAGGGTAAGCCCAACCTGAGATGAACAATCCAACGGGTAGGTCAATTTCAAATTATGTCAATGCCAAAATATAATATTTGGGAGAGATTTTTATTCCTTTGATGTGAGAGAAAATTGCCCAAAACTCCTAAACCTATTATAGAGTAGCCAATACAAGTTGGCCAAATTGGTCCTAAAATTTTTGACGAGTTTTCAATATAATAATTCTAGTCAATTTTAGCAAGAAATGACACTATCCGCGGCCCGCGCTGACGTAGAAGATTTTTAAAGGTTTTTCTTCTTTTTTCCTTTTCTTTTCTTTCTTTTCTTTTTACTATTTTTTTAGCATTTCTGTTCCTTTTTGCCTGTGGCTGGTCTTGACAATGACCGATGATCGACCATAGGCGAGGGTCTAGCCACAAGCGAGGGTCGAGATGGGCGAGGACGTTGCGGCCCTTGCTAGAGGTTAGCGAGGGTAACTGTCATCTGTAGCAAGCCATTGTCGAGGCTTGGCCACAGGCAGAGGAAGAAGGAAAAAAAAAGAGAAAAAAGAAAAAAATTACAAAAATCATCTAAGTCACAGGCCATGCCATGTAAACGGCCGTTACTGACTGGATTGTCACGTTAGTGATTTCCAGCCAAAGATATGCAATGATAATCTTAAAGGAAATTAGATATTCTAAGACATGCAAATAATTAAAACATGCAATAGATGGACATGTAATCTGATAAATCATGCAATCTAAAAATCAATGCAATCTAAAAATCAAGTCAAACTATTCAAAGAAACACTGTCCTGCATTGATTTGAATTACCAGCAATCGCGGACCTAGAGGGGATCATGGCCAACGGCGACGTCAAGACCGGCGGCGACTGGATGGCAAAAGGATGGCGGCGACTGTGGTGGCTGTGTGCTGGAGTACGGGCTGAGGGAAAGACCGCTGGTGGTGAGGGACGACGGGACGAAGAGTTGGCCGTCGTTTGTGACGGATCAAACTCTGGTGCGGGAAATGCTGACCTTCACGATCTGCTTTTTTTTTAAACTTTCTTTTTGCTTGCATCAAGCAGGACCACAAAACCCACGATGGATGCTGCTTTGTTTCATCAAGTCTGGACAAAGACCAAAAGAAAACAAATCCACTGTTTTCCCGCAAGCTCCCGGGTATTGCTCCACTTATGGGCTCTCCTTTGAAGTATTCAACGAACGCCTATCATCACCTCTTCACTCTCCTTTTCCATTACCGAGTCTCCACCGTTTCCTTTTCTTTTGTCTTCCACTTGGGTAACTTCTCGCCTCGTATGGAATGTGTAATGTGTGGACGCGTGACTTGATTAAGGCGCGGAGAGTGATTGATCAATGCATGCATGCGATCATGAATGTGAGGTTCGTGTTGTAATATGGTGGTCGGGGAAGGTAGTGCTCACGGATGGCGTCGCTAGTGGATGGTGGACCGCTGCGGTGAACCCTGCCGAAGTGGATATCCAGGATGCGATTCGCTGCGCCGGGGTTCTTGCTCTTTCGCATGCCAGGTACACGGCTTGGTCTAGCTCGGTTGCTGCCCCGGCGAGGCCTTGGTCACGCCTGGATGCGCTTCGGTCTTGGTCTCGGTCACGTCTGGATGTGAGGCCTGGTGGTCACCAAGAGTTGGTAGGAGATTTTCAAAACGATGGAGGCCAAAGTGTGAAACGCCAAGACAGAGAGCTCCGAGGGTAAGAACTTTTTAATGCATAAGTGCTGTGCGATCAATCCCACGCATGCACGACAAATCCTCCACTGAAAGAGCTCCTCTTCTCTCTCTCTCTCTCTCTCTCTCTCTCTCTCTCTCTTCAATTCAAGCGTGTGAATATTTTGGCTTCATCATGTTCTGCTCTTCGCCGAATATAGGTGCCCAGAATACTCCTTCCTCGTTCCTTTTGTGGCCGAATTCTCAAGATCTTTACGTAATACTTCTCTCCAAGTTCTATCTCATTATCACTTCTCTCCAAAGTGCCTAAATGCATTGCGAAACTTGTTGTTGATATTTTGTTTAGGTGTGGACGTGATGCTCCCAAAGGTCAGGATATTACACAGAAAACACGGCCAAGAGAGTGCCCAAGTCCGAACCTATCATCGACACATCTTGTTGAACCCAGCTTTATTAAAAAGCTTAAACTAATGAGTTATAGACCAACTAGAATATATTAATTACTCCACACCACATCAATTATCCGATATGAGACCTTTATAACACAACTCACATATATATATCAACAATATCAAGTTCAAACTTCACAAACACATGCATCTATGCATACAGATAAATCAATATGCATATGCAAAAGGGTTTTGCTAGCATTATAGTCTTTAGGTCACTGCGAGAGTAACGGCATATTGTGAACTACAAATTCTTGAAGGATTGGTTTTTGGTGGCTCATAATAGGCCGTTAATCTCACGGTGGATTAAGAATAGTCACATAAGCATTTCTCTATGAAGAAACTTCAAAAACTACATAACATAGACAACAGATGAATTAAACTAGATTTTTATTCTTTTTCCTTTTGATTGGTTATGATATGAAGCCTCGCCAAAAAAAGGAGAGAGACAGGATGTGATGAGGCTTCATTCTCAACAAAAACAGATAAAGGTAGTCGAAGATAATTTTTCGGTAAGATCGGCAAAGAATGTACTAGAGGAAATTATGGAATTGAGTTACATTTGAATGTCTGTCCATCTCTAATCCAAGCAATGGATTTGATCAATAGATGAGACACACACGTGTTGATTACAGGTATACACGAACTATGTACAACTAACTGCATCCACAATCTGCAAACTGAAAAGCCAAAAACATATAACTCGCCACCCCTCCTGAAGATCTGGGTCTTCTCTCCTAAAGAAAGACTAAACTTTGCAATGCAACAACTTGAAGCGTCGCAATACTACCTGTATGTAAAATTGCCGGAACGACAAGAAGGAAAGAATGATGAAGGAGGTAATATTTGTGAAGGTGGGGCCATAAGAAAACAAGACTTGAAAAGCTTCAGAGGCAATGATTTAGAATCAGGGCTAGTTGAATCAAAACCAGCAAATTTTAGACTGAGATACGAAGATAACATGGGAGATTTATCGCAATTTGGGGTCCTTATCTCGATAAAGGTCATCTCTTCTTTCCATGTGAGAGGACCTGTGCCAATGAACTACAAGGAAGGAAAACTTGGTTTCCGCTGGATTGGTTCATTACAGTGGACTCTTGCTTGCTTCTATTTCCATCATGATCCTCATAAATATGCTGCCGTGAACCACTTGAAAAGCTTAACTGTAGATGTAAGAAAATAGTAATAATAGATGACGAAATTAGAGTCTTAAAGCAAGATTTAACCACAGGTCAAGCAAGATGAGAGATCTACCACAAAGGAAACTGCAATAACAAGGATAAATAAGATAACCTCGTACTACCTGCAAGCAGTTCAAAAAAGGTGACAAGGGCAATAGAAGCAAGACCAATAGAGGAAAAAAGCCATGAGGGCAAGAGTGACAATTGCCCACAATTCTTGCACTAACACTTGGTTGAATCTTGCAATAACAGATAATTACCACAGTAAGAAAGAAAATACAATGCACATAATAGTACAATTACCCACTACTCTTGCACTAACACGTAATCATGAACATCTTTAAGACAGACCATCGCAGAAAACCAATTTATTGCCTAACAAGCTGACCGTCTTGACGATGATCCGATGAATGTCGTCAGAGCATGGCATAGTTTTTCGACAATCTCCTCAATTGTCGGGCAATTCTCATTTTCTATCTGCAAGTAATGTAGACGAAACAAGTAAGATTTCTATATAACTGAAAATAAAATGCCATGACTCGACTCCAAATAAGAAGAAAGGGAGAAATCTGGATAGCAGTTCGTTTCCAAGAATATCAAAACAGACAATATGCTCTCAAGAAAGGATCAGAATGTAAAATCGTCCGCAGTAGTAGGAAATTAGAAACTAGTTGAAGTTTTAGAAGACTACTTTTCATTAAAACAATTTGAAGAAATTGACAATAATTACCTGGGCCACAATTGTGACATCCAAGAGTGAACTCCCAAATGCTAGGACGCTGATATTTAGAGTTGTCAAGTTCATGTCCTCCATTTGTTTCATCACTTCCTTGATGCAACCCTCACGCTTCTCGCACTGGACTTTGATCAAAACGTTCTTCCCCGACACCCGTGCTTCGACCTCAGGTAGTTGCTGATCGATAACTGGGTCATACGACTCCTCTTCGGATGAAAAAGAGACAATGCCATCACCACGTTGGAGTGATGGCTTGTTCATGAAGATCGCCGATTCCACGGTTCTCGTGGTTGCCTCTTCCTCGAGGATCTTCACACGTTCCTCGAGTTGTTTCAAGTACTTTATCGTGTCTCCAAGGACAGAAGCCTTGTCCAGCTACTCAACCAGAACATATATTAATTTTTTTAGCAGGAACAATGAAGACTGATTATGTAATAAATTAGAACACTACGTTTTTGGTCCCTAAGTTTTCTGGTCCTTGTAGGTGGAACCTTTGTTATGGTGACTATTTCAATAAGAGGTTAGTCTCAATTTCTAAACAATCCTCAAGCAAGTACCTGTATAGATCAGACTATTCTACCTAGAAGTCGAATTTAAGTTGTTTTTTCGAGCTTTTTACCTCTTAAAAGGTTTCTGTTTTCCTCCATCGTTAGTAGGGACTGGTTTTCTGATTAATGAGATTACTGTGAATAGAATAAAAAGAATGATACAAGTACTGTAATGATCTCAAATCACTAGCTAGCATTTACTAAATGTTATGAATGACATATAACTTACGTGATTGATTGTCCTTCGATAGTCATGACAGTGAAAATTAAACAGTAGACACAAAATTCAAGTTTGCTTTTAATTCATGAAGACAAAACTAATAACCTAAACAAGTTAAGCAACTAAAAAAAGGGTTTCGACACTCCTCTAGACAAGTTCAGAGCACAATATCTTTCTACATGTCAAAGATATTGACTTATGCAGATTAAACCCATCTAAATCATTTGACGATGGATGCATATAATCTTATCAAATTTTAAATGCGTGAATAGTATCCAGTACTATTTTATTATGAGAAATTATATCCAATCACCAACATGGTGCAAACATGTATCAGACCAATCTAAATCAACTCAATCATCATCGAGCTTGAGTAATTGAGTGATTTTTCAGAATGAATTCCAGCTTAATAATACTTGACATAAGCAACCCCTTTGCCCATATGTAGTTGGGTATTAATCTAGAATGATAATCACGATTCACTTAAATTAGCTATCACTGATTTACAATTTTCTCATTTTACGAGCAAATTGTGTTAGTTTAACTTTACTCCTTAAGAGAACACACACAATTTCTCATGAATTTGATGGTTCAAACCTAATTTAATTCATTAACCACAAGAAACCCCTAATCGCAAGAACAGAAATGTCTTTTCCTCAAATTATCAATCTCTCTGGTTCTCTAATCTCGGTCTTTGGTCTTGCTCTCAAGGAGTCTCCTCTCATTATCTGAGGTGTATTGGCATATGATCTCCAATCCGCAATTCTAAAAGTTAGGTAGACTTTTGAGACCGGTATGCTACCCTCGATAAACATACACTAAAAAGTAATTAACTTTTTAGAGTATTTCATAAGCCCAGGGTTTACCTTTCTAAGGTGGGTTGTCTTAACACAAATAGAAAGTAATTAACTTTTTCATTACTCATTATGCAAAGTCAAGCAATAAGCAACGAGCTCCTTATTATTCAATAGTGAGGAAGATAAATGTCGATGCTATTGTTTGTCCAAATAGTTAGTATGGCATAAGTGGTATAACCCTTTCGTTTCTGTAGGTATATATCCTGTCAAGAGGGTCCTCATTTTTTTTTCCGTTTATCAAAAACACAAATATTAGCTTAATGTAACTTATTATATTTGGTTCAAGTTTGGACATATAATTCTTCGAAAACTGATTATAATTTCTCAAATGAAACCAAGATTGCGAACATCCCCAATAAAGAGATATGATGAAGGTGGAAAAAGAACAGATATGAATCGTTCAGGAATTTTCACACTATAGGAATTCATTTGGAGTACCTTTGTAAGGCCAGGAATGATGGCTGAAAGAGCAATGAAGCGCTGGCTCAGCTTCTCCCGGCGCTTCCTCTCTGCAATAGTGTGTTCTTGTGCATGCAAAGTTGTTCTACTATATGTATCACCACCACTTCTCTTCATATTCATACCTTCCCCATCTTGCAACTCATAGGTGCCTAAAAAATAATAATAAGAATAACACAAAGCAAAGGGAGAAATTTTTCATTTCCATCACACAACCAAATAACCGTTTCAGCCTTCAACAATTAGTCTGGCCACAAGCCTCACTTACCCGGATATCGCTGAGACATGTTTGTGGATAGATCTGAGTTCTGAAAGGATATAATTTGAGAATTTGACGGTGGAGATGGTTTCATTTGGGGGTTTTTGCACTCAGTTGCGAAAGGGACATCGCGCGATTGGCCAACGTTTTGGATTCGTTTTGACGAGTGGGTCGATGCCGAAGAAACTGAAGTAAATTGATTAAAGCCAGACTCCGTGGGAGAGTAACCAAAGGGACTCATTTGACATTGATCCGCGAAGGCCGGATTTTCCGTTTCCCTGAGAAAAATTCAATGAATGTTTTGAGCACTCAATCAGCCTAAAACTTCGAGATTCTGCTAAAAAACACTGTGCACTACTATATAGCAAAATTGAAGAAACTCAACATATCATAAAATACTTAATTATGAGAAAAATAATATCATCCAAACCACACACTTCTGTGGCCAAAAGAAAACGAAAGAAATCCCAAGCCAATGAAGATGGACCCCATTATGAAGTTTCGTTCCAACAGAAAGCTTCAAGGTTGAAACTTCTATTGTTCTCTGTTTTCTGGATTTCTTCCTTAAAAAGGAAAAAGAGAAATGCTAACATAAAATCGATAGATCCAAACCATTACCAACCTAATTTATCACAAGAATGGGAGAGAGAGAGAGAGAGAGAGAGAGAGAGAGAGAGAGAGAGAGAAAGAGAGAGAGAGAGAACATTTCCTTTATAGGACCTCAAGAATAATGAGCACAATGTAATGTCATCAAGAAAACAGCCCACGAGTAAAAAGATGTGAAGGGGTCATTTGTAAGTGAAGCGAAGCTCACCAACGAAGAAGGAGGAGGTCGGCGAGGGTTTTTGTATGTTCTTGAAACGCTGCGACTCATGAAGTTGCTGAGCAATGTGTACCTTGTTTTGTTTAAAGGGCACGCAGGAACCTTGTCTGCAATAAACAACTCACCACGAGGGGAACGCTCTCGCCAACCTTTCAAGGACTAAAATTAATTTCTGTACTTTATCCCCACGCGTTCATTGAATTTTAATTCCATTTACTCCTTTTTCAGATTCGTTGGCGCATTTCGACTGGATTCCGCTTAGGGTTTCACACGCACTCTATTTCTGGCTTGGTAAAATATGAACCAAACTGGAAGATGTTCATGGATTGGACCTAACAAGTACTTGTATCTTTCTTTTATTTTATTTTATTTTATTTTATTTTATTTTATTTTTTTCGGGGGGGTGGGGGGAAGGGTGGGGGGTAATCAGTTTAAATAAATAGTATCTTTAATATACACTTTTCAAGCAATTTCTATGCCAAATTGAGTTTTCTTCAACCAAGAAGGAGGGAAAATGTAGCGCTTTTCAAAATCCGCATTCATGTATCGCCAAATAAATTATTACACTAGGTAGTCGATAGCAGATGTCGAATGTAGAAATATGTTTATCTTACATGGCAGTGCTTGTCCTTGGTGGAGTGAGCTTCTATGAGTGCATGAAGTTGCACTATTTGCCATTGACACTACATCGACCGTGTGACCGACACATCATATATTTTCTCATGTCATTGGCCTCACGAACTATGGTTCGTGATTGAATGAGAGCAGTGATTGCATGTCCAGATGATGGCAATAGTAAAAAAATTGTTGTTGGTGGATTTGGAGGGTTTCTGTGATCTATCGAAGAGCTGATCCCTTAATCATAATTGATTATAATCACGTGCATATTTTTGTTACCCTCATATAAAGCGATCGTAACACACAAAAACTTGAAAAGAATACAATCGATGAGCGAGATTTCCCATCATTTAATTGGATGGTCACCACAATCTCAAGCAGCCAATCCTTGGTCCTTGGTGTAGTGCATTGTTGTGAACTCCGTTGGGTTTGATTGCGAGGTGTATGAAAAAACTCCTCTGAGAAACACTCCATGTAACAGCCCGAATTTCGACGTAATTCCGGGATCAATAAAATTGACAATATTTCGCATTTCATTTTAGTAAGTCTCGCCCAGAGCTGATCACTCTCGGGATACTAACCAATGGGGTATGGCTAACTAGGAAACGGTACGTGGACCAGGGACTCGACAGTGAACGGGACACCGATCTCGAGATACGATGAGTGAATATTTTGGGCCAACGTGGGCCGATCTTAGGAAAGGTGATGGATTTCGTTTGGCCAAGGCCAACGATGTACAATCAGATCGCAGGTGATTCTGCAAGACCGAAAGTGCACGTGGCCAACCAGTCCTGAACCTAAACCGAACGATCGTGACCTTTGGAACTAACGATAATTTCTCATTCTCTCAATAATCGGGACCGTCGTAATTCGAATAACCCTAGGTCGATACGCGTATGTCCTAAACAACCGCCTGTTAGCCAGAGACCCTGAAATTGAAACTCCAGCGAGTTTTGATCACGAAATTGGGCCCATATTTCGATGTCGATTTTCGAAGGCTTAAGAGACTATTTTTGGGAATCTGACGTCATATTATGCTGGCCACACACGTTTGGAGTTAGTACGAGTAAAAATTGGAATTTCGGTCCGGGGGTGAAAAATTACGATTTTGCCCCTCGGGACGTCAGCGTTGCTTTTCGAGGCCAAATGAGGTTATTTTTCGAGGCCGGCGCCATTTTTGGGTGGCCACGCATACCAGGAGTCGTTATGGCCAAAAATTGGAATTTCGACAAAAATTGGAAAAATAATATTATTTTATTCCCGGAACTTCGCAGTCGATTTTCGAGGGTTTAGAAAGTGAATCTCGCGATTCCGACGCCACATTATGTTGGCCACGCTCATGGAGGGTTGGTACGTGCGAAAATTGGAATTTCGCCCCGGGACCGGAAAAATGACGGTTTTGCCCCTGGGCCGTTTTCAGTTTCGAATTATTTTGGGAAAATTTCAGGATATTTATGGAGGGTTATCAGCTCAATTATTGGCCCTATTGACCCTTTTGCCCCTCATTTTTGGATAAGACTAAATTAGAACCGTTAGATTAGGGGTATTTTGGTCAAAACCGTCGGATTTGCGACACGTGTCGCCCCTAGGCTGCCATGTTTGACCAGATAAGACTCTCTCTCTCTCTCTCCTCTCACCCTCACTCACGGCCAGAACACCCCCAGCAGCCCCTCTTCAGTTTTCTCCCCCATTTTTCTCTCTTTTCTTCTCTTATTTGGCTCGCCGGAGCTCGTCGCCGGCCACCGGAGCACCGCCGCCGACCACCGTGCCCTGCCGTGGACCACCTCAGCCCCCTCAGCCTCAGCCTTGCCTTGGCCGACCCTTTCTCTCTCCCTTTCTCTCTCTTTCTCCCTCTTTTTCTCTTTCCCGTCCGGCAAAAAGGGCCGCCGGAGCTTCGCCGGAGCTCGGATCGCTGTTCCGTCACCACCCAGCTGTCCAGCCTCGCCGCACGACACCGGCCGTACCTGTCCGTACAGTGTCCCCGTACGGAAGTTGCTGTAGCAGTCCCCCGTACGGGGGAGTACTGTTCATCCCGTCCGTACTGGTCACTGTTCACGCCGTCGTCGGGAATTCCACCGCCGGTTTCACTGTTCACCAGTGATCGGCCGCCGTTCCCCGTCGTCGTGACCTCGGATTAAGTGAGTAAAATTCCTAAACCCAGATTAGGACTGTTAGTGCGTTTTTCTGGACTGGTTTAGGTATTATCGGTACATTTTGGACTGGCTTAGATAGTATCAGTGTGTATTTCAGACTGGATTGAGGACTGATTAGTGGAAATAAAATCCGAGGAATTTAGTGGGATTGTTATGGACAATTATTAGGCCCGGATTGAGGAAATAATGGCTGTCCATGTTTTTGAGGAATGTACCGGATTATAATGGACAGCAAGAATTATTAGCTGAATGGCCGGGATTACCCAGAATGATTGGCTATTGATTGATTGGTGATCAATTGTGTTTAATTACGAAATGCTATATTGCGTGCTTGTGTGGCTGAATCGTGTGGAGTGTGATTAGCCAATTGATGGCTTGAATTGTGTATTTGGAATTGGGCCGCAGGGTATTAATAGGCCAAGTAAGCACGTGACTTGTGAATTAGGCACTGTGGAATGACTTTAATTGAACTGTGTGCCTGTGCCTATGTTATGTGGATGCTCATGTTGCATTTCGTGGCACGCATTATGAATGCCGAGAATGAGGCTTGTGATGAAATTGTGTGAGACTGTGTGCCTGTTATGAGCATGTGATCACCTAAAATACCCCGATGCGTGTTACGCGGGGTTCAGATAATAATGGGTTGTGTGATCACCTAAGGGCCTTCGGGTCGTGACCTTCGGGTCGATGCCGTCCTCATGCACTTTGAAGCAGGACAATGCCCGGTACGTCCGGAAGACGACCATCCTCATGCACTTTGAAGCAGGCTCTGGTTCGTAAGGAGATCAGTGTTGCGCCTCATGCACTTTGAAGCAGGCTAGAGACACTGGGCCAGATCGGTTGCTGCGTCTCATCCACTTTGAAGCAGGCTAGACGCACCGGGCCGTGAATATTGTCGACTCGAGTCGTAATGAATACTAAATTGGGCGATTGCCAGTGTGCCAGGGTGGGCCAGTGGGCCGGAAAATGCACGTGACATGTCCACGACATTTGCATGCATGAACATGCATGGACTGGCATGCGAAAGTGTGAGAATCGGTGCATGAGCATGTGATTGGCGTACGTGTGATAATGTGTGCCACGTATGTGCCGTGATTGTTATATATATATATTGAATTGTCTAACCTGCAGGGTCAGAGAATCATTGATTGTTGTTGTGTTATGATTTCTAAGTATTTGTTTCCGGTCAGGAGATTGCATGTTAGCCTAACCTAGGTTTAGGGGTTGAACTCGCTGAGATTCGTCTCACGGTTGTGTAAACCGAAACTTTTCAGACCCCCAGCCGTAGGATGCCGAGGACATCACCTCTTTTTGGGATACCGCATTTTATCCAACGGTCGTCAAGCATGCACCCCGGTGGAGACGGAGCAGAAATGAGAAGTGGCTGTTTGGTTATTCCCAGCTGTTGGTGTTTCCTTTTTTGTTGTAGTGAACGCTGTAAAAAGAGTTTTAAAATAGTAATATAAGTATGTACATATTTTCTGCGTTGATCGTTGTTTATTGCTTGGCTATCCTTGGCTCGTATTTTATTATTGTCAGGATTTGTTTATTTCTTCCGCTTGTGCTTGATCTCTGGTGGGCGTTGGGTCGGCGACGTTTCCTGGGACATCGTAGTTTGTCGATCAAGGTAGGGATGTTGCGTGCCGTGGGGTACGGGGCATGACATCCCCGCTTGAATTGGTATCAGAG